TCCAAATTCAAGATCTCATTTTCACCAATCAAAGAAATGAGCAAAGAAAGAGAGGATGCTACGGATGCGGCGTGAGATGGGGCACTTTGTGGAAGTTTGTCCAAACAAGCCCACACCCAAGACAAAGAAAAAGGCGTGCAAAAACAAAGCCCTCACAACAATAAGGTCATGGGATGATTCTTCAAGTGAAGAAGAAAACCATCACAAAAGGCGAGGTCATAAGCACTCATCAACAAGGAGCTCTTCTCGTGTGTGCCTTATGGCACGAGGTAACAAAAAAGCTCATCCTCTAGTGAGAGTGATAGTGATGATGACTTGCCTTCTTACAATACAATTGTGCAACAAAATCTTAAATATGCTAAAGTTTGCACTAGTCAACAAAAGAAGCTCAAAACTTTAAAAGAAGAGCTAGGTAGTTCACAAGAAGCATACAAGAATTTGCTTGAACAATATGAAAACTTTGCAAATCTCAATGTTGAACTATCTACTAAAATTGAGCAACTTGAGGCTAGTGCAACAATAAGTGCATGCACAATTAATGATAAGCAACTTGAAAAGAAAAATGAAAAATTAAAAGAAAAGTTAGCTAGCTCACAAAATGATTATCAAAGTTTGCTTGCTAAAATGGAAATCATGTGCAAACATTGTGATGAGCTAACAAATCAAGTTGCTAATCTTGAGGCCGTAAAAAATACCCCCACCAAGGCATCTAAAAGAAATGACATAATTAAAAAGGATGCATCTACCTCTTGCAATGATTTATGTTTAGACTCACCTTTGTGCAACCAAGTTTGTGTTAAGAAAGTGATTGTAGATACGCACACACAAGAGGTTGCAAAAGAGAATGAGCAACTCAAGCAAGAAGTAGCTCACCTCACCAAGGACTTGACTCAAATGAAAGGCAAGGCGAAGCAAACCCAACTTCATCAAGATAACACCGTCAAGGGAGTGAAGAAGCTTGATGAAGGACAAACCGTGGTTTGCTACGTGTGCCACAAAGAAGGTCACAAGTCCTATGAGTGCAAGGTGAAGAATGAGGGAGGAGCAAAGATGAAGGAAAAAAAACAAACAAGCAAGCTCTCCAACACCTACACCAACAAGGTGGACAAGAAGGCCTCCACACCTTATCTCTTGAAGAAGAAGAAAAATGACAAGGTGGTGGCCATCAAGGTGAACAAGCAAGCAAACAATGGGGTCAAACGCTTTTGGGTGCCAAAGGAAATCATTTCCAACATGAAGAGCACCAAGAAGGTTTGGATCCCGAAAGGGAAGTAAGAAGTCCATCAGACCACGGGGAATTTGGAGACTTGGCAAAGTATGGGTGCATTTCATGGGGTGCATCATGATGGACAAAACAATTGCCAAGTGGGTTAGTGAATACTATGGACCCAAATTTCTTCCCATGTTAGGTAACTAGATGTTATTGCTTTTAAATTGGTACATCTTGCAATTAGTTTTTCCTACAATTGATATCTTTAAGCATCTAGTTACTTTTCATGCCTAGGGTTGCATTTGCATGCTTATATCTTTTGTCATGCATACACTAGGTATTTCATATGGTAGGCTTGCTCGGTCTCATTTGTAACCCTTGGAGCAAACCTACATGGTTTAAAATTGCTTAGGAGCATGGCACATAGCTTGTCTTACTATTGTTAATCTAATATGTGCCAAAGTCCAAATTGTAGATAATTTTCTCCCAAATATCATCTTTCAAGTGGTATTTTGACTCCAAAATCAATTGTGCATGAGTACTACAAGTATTCCATGTCTCCATGCACAAATTTAGGGGGAGGATCATCTACAAGATGGATGCTTTGAGACTAACACCTTTTTCAAGTTTATCATGTGTGTAGTGGTCTCATTGCAAGGAAAATGGAGTCCCCGAAGAGAAGCATCGTTCTTCAGTTGGCATCATCATGTTGATTTCATTTCATATTTATATGCTTTCTCCATGCATTATATAGATTAAACTCTCTCGTGCAACAATTTGCTAATTATGCATATGCTTTGCTTTCTACCATATGTATGCATATATTTAGTCTATATAATGCGAGAGTCAAATTTTGTGATCCATTTCACTCTATACACAAAGGATCATGAAATTTGACCCTCCCTTGTGCTACTAATGTCTTCCTTTTTAGTGTTTGATGCCAAAGGGGAGAATTTGAAGGACCAAAGGCAAGCATCAAGTTGATGTCTACAAGTGGTAATGGTCCTAAAGGGAGAAAAGTGAATTATGGATTAGTCTATGTAATGGGAATTTTTTTAAACAAGATAGGCTCTAATCCATAATATCACATGGGGACATTTGCAAGGGCAAGACATGCTTTTGAGTAAAGTTTTAATTGGTATCTATCAATTAGTATCATATAACCTTGCTCTTTGCATTGCATCCTAGCAAGTAGATAATTTTTAAATTTAAATTTTTTATCATTTGCTTGCTTTGGTCGTGTTGTCATCAATCACCAAAAAGGGGGAGATTGTAAGGAAAATGGATCCTTGACCCATTTACTTTGGATTTTGGTGTTTGATGACCAACACAACCAAATTGGACTAATGAATTTGCAAGTGTTTGTTTTGTAGTCCAATAGGGTGCAAGACGTGACTTGGACGCAAGGCGACGTGATGATCCGATGATCAACACCTCAAGCAAGACCTTAGAAGCACAAGAAAAGACCCAAGATGTCAAGCAAAGTCCAAGCATGAAGATAGGAACCAAGCCGTGCATCGCAAAGAAACGAAGCTCATAGAGGCGATCGGACGCTGGACCGACGCCGGAAGCGTGACCGGACGCCGGACCGTGGCTTTCAGGCAGACAGCGACCGGACGCAAGGACCGGACGCTGGCGGCAACCGAACCGGACGCAGAGCATAGCGCGTCCGATCGAATCTGAAGAGGTTCCAGTAGCTGAATCGCGACCGGACGCGTCCGGTGGCAGTAGCGATTGTGATCGGTAGTTCAGCGGCTATAACGGTCGGACGACGGGACGCGTCCGTCGGGGCGATTCAGCGTCGCCAAGATGGCGAATTGCGGGAGTTCGACCCCAACGGCTACTTTCTCGGTGGGGCTTATAAATACAACCCCAACCGCCATTTGTGTAGAGTGGAGCTGAGGAAACATATCAAGAGTGTTGATACACCATTTGAGTGATCTCCACATGCATAGTGCTTAGTGTTTTATTAGGTGATTAGCATAAGTGCTTTGAAGTGCTTAGGTTGATTAGACCATCGCTTATGCGCTTGCTCTAGGTGTTTGCCTAGTGTTTAAGTGAGGTTTGCATACCTCTTGCCACCCCGTGCTTGTGAGCACAAGTGTTGTACATCGGAGGGGCTTGAAGTCTTGCGAGATCACACCAACCGCGTTTGTGGTGTGGCCGCCACCGTGTCTCCGGAGGGAACAAGGCCAGCGTTTGCTTCGGAAAGCTTGATAGTGAAGACGGCGGGAGCATCCGGGAGAGGCTTGCCGGAAGGCACATCGGAGACCCACTTGCGCGTGGGGAAGGCCCGAGGCTATCCACGGAGTTACCCGACCGGGAGCTTGGCCCTTTCGAGGGATTCCTTGCGAGGGGCTCCAACGAGGACTAGGGGGAAGCTTGCGCGCTACTCGATACCTCGGTAAAAATACCGGAGTCATCGACGGGAGTTTGCATATCTCTACCTTGCTCTTTAAGCTTCCGCATTTACATTGATCATATTATTATCATTTGCGGTAGAGATAGCAACACACTAGCAAAACCGTAGTTGCACATCTAGATAGATTATCTTTTGCATAGGTTTTGCTAGAAGTAGAAAAAGAGGCCATAGTTTAGAGTTAGTTTTTAAGTTGACTAATTCACCCCCCCCTCTTAGGCGTCCACGTGTCCTTCACTTGGGAACTTGATTCCCGCATTGTTGTGGTGGTGTAGGTGCGCGAGGAGCATTTGCACTCCTTGCATCTTCTTGTATGGGCAGTCACGTGCATAGTGACCATCACCAAGGCATTCATAGCAAGGCCCAGTGAAGTTGCACCTGGTAGGTGTGGGTGCATGCTGTTGAGACTGTCGTGGTGCAATCCACATCGGTCTTGGAGGTGCAAAGCTTGGGATTCATGGGGGTTGCATCGCCATCCTTTCCTTTGAGGTAAGGCTTCCTCCTTGAGACGAGGAACCCGCCCCAATGACGTCACCTGCTAAGACTACTCGAGAACTACTCATCATGACTCTCTTGACCTATCACCGTCTTCCACTACGGTGCTCGATCTCTCGTCGTGGTTCACGACCTGCCATCGTTTGCTACTACCGTGCTTGATCTCTCATCATGGCTCTCGACCTACCGTCGTCTTCCGTTTTGGCATTCGACCTCTCGTCATAGCTCTCGACCTTCTGTCGTCTCCCGTTGTGGCGTTCATGGTCACGATAGCACTCGACATGCATCATCAACATCCCTCGACAGTCACTCGAGCACATAGTCGACATCCATGGATTTGGGGTGGAATTACACATGCTTCCTGTTTGATTGGATGGATGGGATGAGCTATTTTTTGTTTAGTTGGATGGATGAGATAAGAATAGATGACTAATTATATATTTATATATATATTATATTTAAAAATAAAAAACCAATTGTACACTAATAAATATGCACTAACTCTAATTTTATCCAAATAATCACTACTTAAACATTAAATATGTGACTTAGCACTACCACGACCTAATTGGCACACTAGACGTACACTAATCACCATATTACCACTTATTAAAATTAAATCTGGCCATCATAATTACTAAGTAATAATATAACATACTAATAATCTTTAATTTATTTATTAATGATAGAGATTAGAAAACTTTGATAGCAATTTTTTATGGCAAGGATATCCCGTATCTGAAAGAATATTCTCCTACCAGGTATATCTATATCTAGCTTGCTCGTGATCTAACATCACATGTCTGTGGATGGCTATATTCTACCCATAGATATCCATCCGAACAAACTTTGGAAGACCTGATTTGCTTCCTATTCTTAAATGACAGCAATATGCCCCCATTCTTTAGGAAAAAGCCTGCAAATACTTCCTAAAGAAACAAAAAATATACATGAACAGCTAACAACCTATTGCTTAATTAAGAATGGGGATGGTGCTCCAATGGATATCCGCGGTTCCCCACTTGGCCACTTCTCCTCTAACTCAACTCAAAATAACTAATTAGACGATTTTCCCCTCATTTTTACATACAAATAGTTCATTAAGTTATACTAGAGGAGATCCGTGGATCGCTCCACCTCCTTCCTTAATACTATCACCATACTCGTTTAGCTTCAGTATCCATGGCAACTGCCCAACACATTTCTGTAAACAAACGGGACGTTTGACACAGATTTTATACCTGCTTTTAAAGTTGTTTTCTTGCTTTGAATGCCCAAAGCGGTACTTCTCTTGCACCTTCAATTTGAAGTCCCACAAAAATGACTATCACATGGGGGTGCGTGCATTTAAGCTAAAAGAAACCAGCTTGCACCGGCTTCATGAGCTGACGCACGTGAGCTCTCACATTACTCCTTTTTCCTACCAGGTGAAGTTGTTTTATCAAACAGTTCACCAATATAACTTTAGCTCTATTAGTAAAGTTGCTCATACAATCAAAGCCATAAAAAACTACTTTACCACTGAAGCGGAGCTGTGCCAAATAGGCATAAAATTACCCTTTTTGTTTTCCTTTTAATCTTAAGCAATGTACATGCACTCTTTCCATACATACATGTAACAAAAGAATCACAAATGGTATGTACAACCGAAAATTGTTACCATCAATAATGCAATGAAAAAAAAAACGAAGTAATCTGCTAATTAACCTAGCAGCAAAAAAGATCACTGGCCTGTCAGTAAACAGCCTGGCCAGTTTAGTTATTCTTCTGATCGCCTAGTGAAACAATGAAACAAGACTGATCGCCTAGTGAAACAATGAAATAAGAACAGAGTTGTTCACTGCAACCTGCTCCTCTTGAAGTCAGGCAGCGTGAGGGACACCGCCGTCTGAGGCTGGAATCCCACGGAAGCGAGCCTCGGAGACAGGATCATCGCCGGGCTGGGGCGCGGCGAAGGAACCGGGTCCCTCTTCCTCGACGGCGAGCCGGTGAGCCTCGGCGAGAGGTTGACGTGCTCCAGCGCCCTGGATTGGAGGTCCTGCGGGTAGTCGCGGACGCATCGGATGCGGGGGCCCGTGCCCGTCGACCACCGGCACGTCAAGTGGTTCTTGCCGAGCTCAGCAGCAGCAACAGCACCACTATACGGTGGCAGCGGCAGCTCGTGCTGCTGCACCTCCTCTTCGGTGTCGACGTCGGTGTGAGCGTGGGTGTCGGTGTCATCCTCCTCTGCTTCACTCATGTTCCCGTCGACGGTCGTCCGGTGAACGTCGCCGTCGGCCACGTCGGAGTCGCTCGTATGCTCATCCGTGGCCGCAGAGGCCGTGTTGTGTTCTGCTCCGTCAGTGCCGTTCGAGACGGCGGCGTTGGCCTGAGCCTCAGGTTTGCTCAGCAAGGGATACTCGTCGTCTTTGTCGAGTGGGCATTTCTGAAGGAGCGAATAACAGTAACACCCATATGTCAGTTCTGAATCTTGCAGTGATCACTGACACTGTTTATGAAGAAACTATCCAGTGATTATTTGCTTACATTTACCTTGACATGTGTGAGGTCGACACCGTTCTCATCAAGGTAGCGGATGAAGTCTTTGAAGTTCTCTTCAGTTGGAAGGTAGTGACCACTGTACGGCCATATAGCCTGAAGAAATGCAAGCAATTGCGTCAGTTACTTTTCTGATTCTGAATGGGCAGCGCCATATTCCATCGTGTATACGAAACAAAGATTTTGTTTTCAGTATGATTGTATGAAGTATGAACATACCTTGAGGATTCCTTCTTTGACGACCAATCTTCCGGCAGATGTTATGGCTCCACCAGCTAAGAAACTCGAGTGCTGAAATGATCCTTTCTTCTTCTGCTCATAGCCAAAACAAGAACTTTCAGAACTAATGCAAGAAGCAATTTTATTTTTATGTCGACAAGAACAAATATGGTAAATTGCATTCATCGGCGTGTAGCAGAAAATACAAACTGCAATCTGGTTAGCAGAAATTTGTGTTTACCTGTCCAACATAGAGTGCCTTGGTGGTGCTGAGGACGAAAATCCACTTGGAATCGTCCAAAGTATGCACAAGAGCTCCATTTTTCTTATACACTAGCTTTCCCCTCTCCACCACCACTTCATACTCTTGTCTCTCTTTCTGCAATTCATAGCAAGAAACAGAAGAGCAAGGATGAGCTCACCATCCAATTATATATTCAGGGTACTAACTGTTAAACATAGTGCTAAAAACTTCTATCATTAGTTAAAACATTATTATACTGATGAGGGGCTTACTGGTCCAAGGTACTTGATGCATTGGCTCTGAAGTTTACTCCTAGGGCATTTCTCAAGGCTTACTTCTTTGCCTTCCCCAATGTCCAACCTGTACATTTCATAAACAAAACCATATATATATTTTACATTCGTCTCACTTATTTCCAAGCTGTCAAATTCAAAATTTCAAATAGAGTAGCAACAAGTGAATTCTGGTTCACTTACCAATAAAAGAAGGGCTCTGTGCTCTCGCTCTTGGACCAGACATCATAATAGATGTGCAAATTGTGCCCGTACCGATGCCTCGGGTCAATCTGCCAGCCAACACACAGATGCAAAAGCAGCAGCAGCATTAGTAAACTAATGATCTTACTGGAGCTAAAAAAGATTGCTTGTTTATAGTATATATCCTAGGTTATGTAGCATGTGACTTACAGCTTCGAGCCAGTGCTGCCGTGCCAGCTTCTGCGCCTTGCCGTTCTTCGACAGCCCCTTGCCAAGCTAACAAAAGCAACCAAACAAACAAAGCTCACGTCAGCAGCTGCGATTTCGATGGGGTTCAGTTCAAACGCATCTCTAGGGGCATTTTTGTGGATGCAAGAACAGCTGTAAAGTGGCGCGAGCTGGTACCTTGGCCACCCTCGTCCTGGCGCGCGCCCACCGCGACGCCGCCGTCTCGGGCTTGCCGCCGTTGAAGAAGGAGACGGAGCTGTGCTTGAGGGAGGCGAAGTCCAGCGCCTTCCACCACAGCTCCTCGATGACCACGGCGCAGTCGGCGAGGTTCCGCCGCGTGCGGTAGCTCTTGTACACCTTCTGCAGCTTCACCGCCGCGGCGTCCAGCTCGCATTTGGGGCTGGACGACACCCGTGGGCTCGTCGGGGTCGCCATGAACACCACCTCCGAATCCGAGTCGTCCCTGATCAGGCACTCGCTCCGCCTGCTGCTGTCGTGGTGGTCCATGGAAGCGACTACCGCCTCTGCCTCCCACAGCTTGAAGCTCAGCGACGGCATCAGCTTGCCGCTGGAGAGGGAGGTTCTGTTCACCACCATGGTGCCGTCCTTGGCCCTCGGGCTGGAGATCTCGATGCCCAGAGCTTCAGCCCATTCGTTGTGGTACAATCCCATAAACTGAAGACCTATCCTGAAAACAAAGTCATTCCGAAATGAAAAATCCAGGTTTCGGCAGTGATCAGAAGCAACTTGCAAGAAGAGAGAAAAGCGGTGGGCTCTCTGCTCTGGTGACAGAGTCAAAGTCAGAGAGAAGAATGAAGTGAACCAAACAAACACTGGCAACAAGCCGCCGGCGGAAACGACTCGAGGCCAAGGCAGCCAAGAAATTCCACGGCTGGCACCACAGCGGTATAAACAAAAAGCTAGACGCACAATAGCAGCCATGCCTAGAATTCTAGTATAAACATGCTTGCAGTTCTTGTCATGGCAAAAGAAGTCAGCGACACCTAAAGCTATGTTTTTTTTTTATTATGTAGGAAGGATGGCTGCATCTGAAAACGTGAAAGAAACAGCCTCAATTGCATTGAACTGGGTAGGATTCATGAACCTGAAGAACATCATCAGGCCAGCGTCATTGCCAACGAAACTTTTGATTCAAAGCTCTTCATTTAGCACTTCAAGAACGACAACCTTCAGACACTACATAGCAGGTAGAGGTCCTAAACTCCCAATATTACCTCTGCATCTAGCAGCTCATCATAGACTAATTCCGGTTCCAATCAAGAAGATAAGCCCCAATCTAAGAGCAAAGGTACACCAAATTTGAGAGCAGAAAGAAATCAAAGGACTGATGCTCCTTACCTGGCGGTGGTCTCGTAGTGGGAACCCAACCTTCTCCTAAAGAACTGGAACAGCTGAAATATTGGGAGCTTCTGAGAGAATCGTTTGGATCGAATTGGCTGGAATGTGATTTGGCTCTCGCTCGCTGCTGATGTAGTACTGCAACCTCAGGAAGTCAGGAGTCAGGAAGGAGCTGCCACTGCTCTCTCATATATATAACGAAATCTAGGACGGGGCCCACATCGCTGAATGGACCAGAACTTCCTCCCGAGAGATGTGGAAACATGCAGGAACAGCCTGCGAAACGTTCCCCGTTCCCCAAGAAGCGCAAGACTCTTCGGTCAGTGCTGATGTTGCAACGCTGCTGCAGCTTTCAAATTGTTGAATTGAATCTTCTTCCAGTTTACACCTTGCCCAACCACTCTTTTTAATACACGCCCTTTTTAATTTGCTGTTATGACTTTCATCCAGGACAGGGGAACATACAGCTAGAGGTGGTCTTCATTCTTTTTTAGGTTTTATTAGTTATTATCGGCATAAGAAGGGTCTTGAAGATCATGTAGTGCCAAAATTTGCTTACTAGTGCTCTCCCTTTTTCGGGCTCATATATAGAACACTTTTCATGAAACCATAAGTGTGTCTGATAGCAAAACAGAATATCAAGCACTCCATATGTGTATAGAGTATATGTAGCAACATGTTCGGTTTGGGCAGTGACCCCATACGGCGTTAGCACATCGATCTGATGGTTTTGAGGGAAACAAGTCGGGTCGCGACTTTAGCTTGCCGGTGGAATGACCCGGTGGCTGCACACGGCACTGTTACCTGAACCAAAACACGCTTTAAGTTGTCCAATCATTAGTCCGGAACACACGCTTGTTTCAATTAGCGCCTAGTCCAACATCTTAGTCCTTGGGTTTTTTTTTCCGACGGGAAGGAGAATTATATTAAACGACAATACTTCCCGTTGGGTGTCCGTCCGTCTAGACGGACCGGACTGCTCAGACGCAGTGCACGCCGCGCGCCCCTGCCCGCACCGCCCGCCAAGGAGTCACCCCTTCGCCTCCCACCCTTCTGTCTAACTGCCGCCAGAGTGAGTTGCTAGCGTGTGCCGAGAGGCCATCTAGATAGGGCGCAGCTCCACGCGGTGGGCTACGTGAGATCTACGCACGCCCCTGACCGGACTCGCGCCTCCTGCCGCGGCCGTGCTCCATCTGCCGGTAAGTTGCCCGCGCCGGAGCTCCACGCCCCGTCAACCTTTGCGCCGCTACGAGCTCCATGCACCGCCGTCGACCTACGCGTCGGCGTTGAGCTCCACAATGACGAGCTCCATTCATCCAAGCAGCAAGGTGATATTACATTGAAAGCGCATGTTGCAAGAGTATATATCAAGTGTTTCAGATGTTTCAGAGGTATATTGCAAGTATTGTAGATGGATGTTGCAAAAGTAGATCGGAATGTTGCATATGTTGTAATGGTTGTACATGTATGTTGCAAAGGTCTGTTCCCAATGTTTCATCTGTGTTTTCGACGTATGTTGCAAGTGTTTTATCCGAATATTGTATATGTTTCACACATATGTTGCAAGTGTTTCATCTGGATGTTAAGTATGTTTTGAAAGGGCTACACATGTGTTTTTCTGGTGTTTCAGATATATGTTGCAAGTGTTTTCAACTATTTCGGACATATGTTGTAAGTTTTTATCTAGATATTGCGAAAGTAGATCTGGTGTTGCACATGTTGAACTGTGACCCATCTGACGCAGTCGCCAGCTGCAGCTGTTGGGCTCGCTTGCATGCGCGTGGGTGTGGAGCGAGCGTGAGCGGTAGGCGCAGGAAACGGTGCAGGCGTAGATAGAGACGCGGGCCCACGTGGGGGCGCGTAAGTGTGGGATACGAAGCGACAAGGGGCCCCACGTAAAGCAGGTGCAGACGTGCAGGCGGGCGCAACAGCATGCCTACGCGGGGTGCAGGCAAGCGCGGCAGGCATGGGTGTCCGAATGCTAGCTCCCGTCCGGACGTCCGAGCGCTAGCCTAACTGAAAAATCTTAGCACAATACATCCTCAAATTACACATAAAAATTTAAAATAAAAAATACATAATATTCTATCAAGATTCTTCAATCGTCTTCTTCCCTAATAGCTTCCCTCAAACGACGGAGACAAAGTGCAGCCCTTATTTCGAATCCAACGACCAACCCTAAAACATTAGACATACCGCAAATCCAATGTTACGGAACCAGTCTAAAATACATCTAAATTGCTGAAAGAATATTGGCAGTTGCATCGTCAGGTACGATATAGGATGCAAATTTATTACTTTGAGACCTTGATTTCCTCTTCGCGACCATCGACGATGAGATCGATGACCCGGAGTCACTGTCCTCGTAGGGGCTCAAGAAGCACTCCTTCCCTTGCAGATAAAGGCTACAAATTGGCCCTCTACCGATGAAATCAATGCTTGCAACGATGATCTTGTCTTGGCAATCACCAAAGTCATCACAAAACAAATGATCTCGATTGAAAATCATCTAATTTCGCTAGAAATTTATTTGGACTCAACCCTAAGACACTAAAAAACTACAGAAAAAGGATGCGTCCCCTCCCCTTCTTGTCTCTGACGCACTGGAGAGGAAGAAGGAGAGGGGCCCTAGACGCGATGGCAATGGCGGCGAAGCGAGGAGCAGACATTTGGTGGTAGCTCTACGCGGGGCCTCTTTTTCGTGGTCCGAGGATCTTAGTCCTCGGTTGATCTCAGAATATCCCGTACCATGAGGATTCATCAAAGAGAACTCTTTCACGAGCATTTAGGACCAAACTTCAGAAAAATAAATCCTTCAGATTAATGTTGAGCACTGTGTTTTCAATAAAAAAAATTATTTTTTGTATGAAAGAGACATGGCCTCAATAATATTCGAACAATACAACTCACCACTTTCAGAAAAAATATATATTAGAATGGACTCAGTTTAGGTTCAAGACCGTGCTCCGTCTCTTTTCACGATAGATTTTCTTGCTAATCAAACTTTACTGGCTTTATACAAAATATTAGTAACATATGTATATCTAAATAAGTGTATTATAAAGATATTTAATTTAATTTTTAATTTAGTGCTATTTGTTATGTACTATAAATATTAGTAATATCTTGTATATATTTGGTCAAAATTGAGTGCGTCTGACTCCTCTGATATATGAGAATGACACTAAAATAGGGATGGAGGAAGTATTCTCAAAAATTATAATCCATTTATGTCGAAGGGGATAATGTCATTGTAAACATAGTACATCCCAAGAAGCAGTTTGAGGCCTCTTTTGGCACAATTCAACTTTAGTGAATTCATGTTTTTTCTTTAGCTCTACGAGCAGCTTTGCTAGAAAAACTAAAACGGTTTTGGTGTACTATTTGGCAAAACAAGGCTGTATATAGATTTTCTTAAAACATGCTCTCGTAGAAAATCCCACACAGAACCCACAAGTGTGTGAGGTGAAGCTGCAAGTAGTTACTATTTTCATCTTCACCCCATCATATTCCGAGAGCATAATTTAAGGAGCTTCATTGGTGAAGAAGTTGTTTGCAAAAGACCTATTGGACAAAAGAAAAAACAATTTCAAACAGCTCAGGAAGCTTACGAAGAAACTGTGGCAAACAAATCCTCGATGGAGCACAAAATTGCAATGCGCTATAGAAACGCTTTTCGGACAGAAGTTGGAGACAGAGGCAGCAGGCACAGCCAAACCTTAAAAGTACTGTATTCTTTTAAATAAATTAAAATACCCTTTAAAGTACTGTTTGATTGCACGTGTGCCAAATTTTCGATAAACAGTATTCAACGTTGCGTTTTCAAATAAATGCACGTGTGCCTAATAACCTTTCTGTATGTTTGTTTTTTTCTCTTGATCCATTTCCGATCCATAAAACAGCAGCAAATAAATGCGGGTAATGGACTGGACCATTCATGCACTACACCATGCATGCATAGCATAGTGGATGGAGCTGGGAGCGTTCGTGTTCGTCCAAAGGCCAATACGGATTAGAAGAGTCGAGATGCAGTAGTGCTGGCCTAGTGCATTCATGCATATGGTTTCCCATGCAGTGCAGGTGCAGCTCGCTCCAGATGAGTGCTTGGTTGGTGGTTGGCAGCAGGGCATGACCGCAACCGAGGAACGAGTCGTGGCGTTGGACGGCATCCGATGCGATGCGTACACTGCATGCGTGCCAAGTTTGGGCGGTCAAGGCCGCCGTTGATCCGGCCATGCCTCAAGCCGCATGCATGGAAAATCTTGTGCTTCATATACGTCATGCACATATATGAAACTTATCCGGGGGAAGAATGTTTGGTATGTTTAATTTGTGTATGTATGTAATCACGTCACACGGACACGGGGATATATATAGTAATAAGCAGCCAAAGCCAGCATTGCGTTAATTAGGGTTTATTTCCGGACAAGTATTGTTAATTGACGTGTTAGAAAATATCAGGAAACTGCCATATGGTTTGATTTCCACGAACCAAAAGTTGGTGTGTGGAGCCAAATTAATAAAGGCGCATCGTCATGCATGACAACATTGAGACATCCACTTTTTAGGATGTGGACTCCTTG